TGTGGGGACTGGAGGAGAAGGAAGCATGAAAGGAGAATACCTCAGAGAAGGTGGTTTTGTTTTTGGTTTTGTTTTTTTAAATTGAGACAGGGTCTCGCTATGTTGCCCAGGCCGGTCTTGAACTTCTGGGCTCCAGCCGTTAGCCCACCTCGACCTCCCAAAGTGCTGGATTACCGGAGAGAAGATGTTTTTTGCTATTAGAAGAACCCTAGCGCTGACACCCCAGAGTGGGGGGGAAGGGCACTAACTTCTTGGTTTTTAAGGAGGAACTCACCCTGAGGGCAGGTATCTGCTGAGTGTATAGAAAGGCAGACAGGCAGAGAGGCATGGGCTTTGGAAATCAAATGCTCCTGGGTTCCAATCCTGTTTTCCCCGTATTCCCAAGTGGTGTGCCCTTGGCCAGGTTGCTTAACCTCCCTGAACCTGAGTTGCTGCCCCTACTTAGTTGACAAATATTTACTGAGCACCAATCTAGGCACCAGAAGTGACCAGTCCAAGTCCTGGCTCACAGGGGGCCCATGGCCGTGTCGGAGAACATGGGGATGACAACGCCTGCCTTGTGGGAGCAGGTGGGATGCTTCATCCAGGTAACCTCTAAGTGCCCCTTAGCGTTTAAATGACAGTGACTAAAAATAGATGGGCTGAGGGGAGGATCCCTGGAGCCCAGGAGTTGGAGACCAGCCTGGGCAACATAGTAAACCCTGTTTCAAAAAAATACAGAGATTACTAGATGGGTGCTTTTGGGGAGGAGGGTGATCCTGTCTGCTGCTCAGGTTCGTGACCCTAGGAATGAGGAAGGGAAGCAGGCATGGGGAGCAGCGGCCAGGAAGCCCCTGAATGCCTGGGGTCCTGTGGGGGGTGGTGGGGCTCCACCTGCATGCAAGATTTGCTTCAGGACCACCCCTCCTCCCACTTCCAGTGAACCTGGCTTGACTGAGGTCATAGGTCACCACCAGGACCCCATGTCTGGGCTTTCTCGGAACGACTCCCTGCCAAGGAACCAGAGCGCCTCTAATAGCCTGGAGCCTCTAAAAGCTTTGACCACAGCTCAGCTTGCTCCCTGCAAGCCCTTTGAAGCGCTTCCTTCGAACTTGCTTTGCATATTCTGGTCAGATCTGAATCAGACTTGCAGGAATTACCCCTCTCGGTAACAGTCTAGGTGGCTGCCTTAGCTTGTCAGTGACACACGGGGCAGGCGTGCTGACGTAAGGTTGAGAAAGGTTGAGACGTATTCGATTCCAGCGAGGGGGCAGAGCCACCACCCTCTGCAGCTCTCTTCCTCTTCTCCGATGCAGAGTGTGGGTGTGGGTGAAAGAGAAAGCAAGCACAGGGGGGCGGGGGTGGAGAAAAGGTTCAAGTCATGTTTTTCATTAAAAAATAGTGCTCTTTATTATAAATTACTGAAATGTTTCTTTTCTGAATATAAATATAAATATGTGCAAAGTTTGACTTGGATTGGGATTTTGTTGAGTTCTTCAAGCATCTCCTAATAGCCTCAAGGGCCTGAGTAGGGGGGGAGGAGAGAGGACTGGAGGTGGAATCTTTATAAAAGACAGAGTGATTGAGGCAGATTGTAAACATTATTAAAAAACAAGAAACGAACAAAAAAAAGGGGAAAAAACCACCCCAACACACAACTGCCCTGTCCAGCCCAATACCTGACACAGAATACTTTGTGTTTGTTTAGTTGCCCCCCCTAACAAAAAAACAAAACAAAAACAACAACAAAAAACCTGTTCCAGGTAATTCCATCGCTGCTACATTCCTGTAAGTTGTCACTGATCAGTGCTATGGCAGAGCGGGAGCACCCGGGGTGGCAGCAGTCCAGCCTCTCCAATGACCTCCAGCCTCCCCCACCTAGGCAGGAGGGAGGGCTGTGCAGGGCTGGGGGCAGTGGGACCTGGTGGCTCTGCTCTGACCACGAGGCGCCTGACTGGCCAATACTTACTGGGCTAACATTCCCAGTGCTCAGCTGGGAGGCATGGGTTTCTGCCCCTTCCCCTGGCTGTGGGCTGGCTGGGTGCCCTCCCGCGAGTCCCTCAGCCTCTCCACACATCCAGGCTGAGTATGTGGCTTTCCTATGCTGGGTCCCTCTCCATGGGACAGGGAGCATTTAAGGCGAATCTCTTAGCCAGACATAGTCAGGAGGCACACAGCAGAAACCCCTGTCGTCTCTACCAGGAGCCTGGGGTGAAAGATGTCCCATCTCCTCCATCCTCCCACTCCATCCACCCAGGTACAAGAAGGTTTAGTATGAGTAGGAAAAGACCAGCTGACCAGCCCATCCATCCCCTCCAAATGTTGCTTCCCCCTTAAAACGGAGGAAGGGCCCTGGGCTCTCAGGCACCAGGTAGACTTTGGAACCTGTGTTTTCGGTGGCTGTCCCGGAGGAGAGGATGTGGGGCACCAGGATGGTTCCCTTCAGGTCGCCCCAAGCCCTTCTCCCCGGAGCCAGGGAGAGGAGCATGCCACCAGGATCCTCACCTGGGGTTGGCAGGGGGGTGTGACCATTTCCTTAGCCAGCCCACAGCCCCGGGGCCCTCAGAACCTCTCTCTCTTCCACCTTTCCCAGGCTCCACAACCAGCTCAGGTTTAAACCAAATCAAAGAGCAAACAAGTTCCGTTGGAAAATTTGAAGATTCCCTGGCAGTTCTCATTAGTTCAGCATTCCCCAAGTGTCCCGTTTGGAGGCAGAGGGGAAGTTGAGGAATTGGAGGAGAATCCACTCGTGGTTACTATCGTCCCACCAGGCCAGCTGGCTCCTCCGGAGAAGCTGGAGACTCAGGTGGTACTCCCCCTTCCCTCCAACGTATTCCAGGTCCGCCTGCCACATTCTGCGGGGAGGGGGGGGGGTTGTGGGGGGGGCAGAGGGAGCGGCCTGTCCGCCCTCTTTCCCCCCAGCGCTACAGGACTCTCTCCTGGCTGGCTTCTTGTGCTTGTGCCATGTGCCATGGAGGAGAGGGGACGCAGGCCCCTCTCCCGACCCATGCCCTTTGCGCCCTTTGCCCCTTAAAGCGGGGCATCGTACTGGTCCAGGAACTCCCGAATGGGCCCCGGCAGCTGGGTGACTTTCTCATAGGAGTCCAGGTGGCCGTTGACGGTCTTCCGACAGAGATGCTGAAGAGTGGCCACGTTGGAGGAGAGGGGCCGGCTCAACACCAGGGGGATCTTCTCGCCCCCGGAGTAGATGTAATAGGCTCTTCTGGGGGGACTTCCAGGGAGTGGCTGGGCAGACGGCTGCTCGGGCACCTCGGAGGAGGGTTCAGTAGGTGGCGAGGGGAAAGAGGGGGCTCCAGGGGGCGGCATGTAGTGGTGCACCAGCTTGAGCACGCAGTCGAAGCGGGGCACAGGCTGCGTGCTCCGGGGATCGCTCTGCAGAGAGAAGCTGCCCCCCTCACACTGGATGCGCAGGTTCTTGGTCCCAGACTGGGTCTTGACGCTGAGCGTGAAAAAGTGGCGCTGGTCCGAGCTGTCGCGAATCAGAAAGGTGCCAGCGGGCTCGGCGCTGAGCAGCAGGTTCGCCTCGCCGCCGGTCACTGCGCTCCAGTAGAAGCCGCTCTCCTGCAGCTTGCGCACTGCGTTCACCACCAGCTGGTACTCGCTCTTGGAGCTGAAGGTCTTGAGGCGCAGGCTGGTGTCCAGGGGGCGGCTCATCCCGGCGGCGGGAAACTTGCTGTGGGTGACCATGGCGCACGGAGCCAGAGTGGATCTGCGCGGCGGCGGCTGCAGCTGCTTCGCGGCCTCCGCACAGCGGCCGCTACTGCATCCCGGGGGGCTGCGGAGAGGAAGGCGCGAGCGCGTGAGTGCCCGGAACCCTCTAGCGCGCCCGGCCGGCCCCGGCTCCCCTGCCTCCGCCGAACGACTGGGGCACCCACTGCCCCGGGGGCCCTCGCCTGGGCCCGCGCTCCGATCCAGGCGCCTCACGGAGCCCGCACGGCTCCCGCCCCTGCCGGCAGGGTGGCCCCAGGCAGCCCCTTCCCCAGCGCGCACTGCAAGGGTGCAGCGTGGGAAACTCGCGCGCGTAAGTTGGGTCTCCAAGAGTGTGGCCGGGTGGGGAGCAGAAGGGCCCCCGGGACCGTCTGGGCGCCGCTCAGTCCAGTGGCCCCAGGCGGTGTGGACGGAGGGAGAAACCCGAGGCACGGGGATAGGGAGGGGACAGGAGAAGCCCGAAGTCCCCAGCCCGAGTATTCCGGGAACCTGGAATCTCCGGCTTTCATCCGCTCTGCCCCTACCCCGTCCCCTCCCTGCCGGGAATGACCCGGGAAGGGGAGGGGAAACCGGGAAAAGCTCCCGGGACTGAGCGAGACCCCTCCCCACGCCGCGCTCCTCCTTCCTACCTGGTCCCGAATCGAAGTCTCCGTCCTTGGGGCTGAGCCCCCTCGGGTCCCCAAGGCGAGGCGGCGGCGAGGCGGCCAGCGGTGGCCCGCGCTGCGCCCAGATGTTGGCGACCGTGAAGTCCACAAAGGAGCCTTCGCGCGCGCGTCCCTCGAGCTTCCCCTGGGCGCCCGCCCTGCCCCCTGCGCACCCCCGGACCAACCGGGAGGGGACCAGGCAAGGGGCCGCGGCAAGGGGCCGCAGCGGGAGCTGGGCCGGGCAGGCGGCGGGCGGCTGGCTGCGTACGGAGCCGGAGCGGCGGCAGCGGCGCAGGGAGTCCAAGTCGGAGCCGCCGCGGAGGCCGCGCTCGCGGGTATATAGGCGGCCGCCGCGCCCCGCCCCCCGATTCCTGGAACTGCGCGGCCGGCCTTCTTGTAATGTTTAGTCACTACTCGCAGCAGAGAAAGGCTGAGCGCGGAGGGTGAGGGAGGGGCCGCGGGCGCCGAGGGCGGGCCGCGAGCAGGGGCAGGGACCGGGAGGGACGCGCGCGGAGACAAAGCGCGACGAGAGGCGGCCGAGGCGGCCGGTGGGCGCGGCGCCAGCCCCGGCGGCGCGTTCCTGGCAGCGGCCCCTCCCCGCCGCGCTCCGCCCCCAACTTCTCATTCACACTTTCCCCCCACCCCCTTCCCTTCTAAGAAGGCCAATTTCTGGCAGAGGCGGGGGCGCCGCTTCGGGAGCGCGGGCAGTTCTAGGAGGCCGACCAGGAGAGCCTCCCGGTTCCCCTTCCCCTTTTCTTGGACCCCGCGGGGACACCCCCTCGCCGCCACCCGGGCCTCCCCGAGTGCCCGATTGCGGGTCCAGGCGGCCCAGGCCAGTCAAAAGGGAAGTGGGGTTACCCCACAGCCAGGCCACGGGGCTGGGGTCAGACCCGGGAGCCGGAGGTTGGAGACGTGCGACAGTCACCTGCGAGCAGGTCCCAGAGGGGAGACCCAGGGTTGCAGGGGACGCCCCTGCGTGGCAGCTACCCAGCCTTGGCCCACTGCCAGGTTCTTTGCCAACCCTGACGCGAGTGTGGAGCCCCTCTCCCCTCCCATATAAAAACGCTTTTATGCACTGGGGTCTGCAAACCGACTTGGTCCGGGGTGGGTTGGGCCAGGTGCTCTCGGCGGGGCTGGAGAGCTCGAGGGGGAACGATGGCCCCAACCTACGGCCCGCGTCCGCCAGAGGGCGCCCTGGGGTCTCCTAGGGGAGTGCAGTTTGGGGCTGCGCGCCCCAGGCCCCGGAATAAGCGCGCCAGGGGTCTGCGGGAATGGCTGTCTCCGGAGCTGGAAAGGTGGCCGAGAAGGGGGAATTCACATCCCAGGCTGGGGTCAGACCTGGGAATAAAATTCTAGCAGGACAGAATTTCCGGAAAGCAGTTTTCAGGGGTTCAGCCTACTGCCAGATGGCCCACACCCCCGGGATGTGCCCCCACCCCCTGGGATGTGCCTCCCTGCCTCTCTTGGGGTGGGGGGAGGACTGGCGGGGAGGGGGTAGAGGGGAGGAGAGGAGGTGATTGAGGTGAAAGATTAGTTTGCTATTGGTCACGTTGGCACTGATGTAGATAGTTTGGGCTTGGAGACCTGGGGCCAGCCTTATGAAGGATGGCAAGTTTTGTCATCTTGTCCCCAAATGGGCTGTGTGGTGCTGGAGACACCCGAGAGCCGCCTCAGTGGCATTTAGATCCTCACCTCTCGGGACGCAGAGGCTGTGGGCCTGGGGCCCTGTGCTCTTCCCAGATACCAGGATAGTGAGGTGCTGAAAGGGAAGGAAGAGACTGCCGCCAGGGACTGGGAGCTTGGGATTCCAGAACCTAGAGCTGGTCCTTTCCCGGGTCCTGGAATTGATATGTGCGCACTGCCTTTGCCACGGTATCCTCAGTCTGTGCCATCACCTCTCTCCAGCATGTGCTGGGGACTCAATGATATTTGGACAAGACACACAGTTTATCTGGGATTCTGTTTTGCCATCTGTAAAATTGGAGCCAGAACCTTTTCCTTCCCTTTGGCAGGCTGAGGCCAGAGGACCACTTGAACATAGGCATCCGAGACCAGCCTGGGCAGCAAAGTGAGCACCCCCATCTCTGTAAAAAATAGAAAAAAAAAATAAGTCAGGAGTGGTGGCCTGTGCCTGTAGTCCCAGCTACTTGGGAGGCTGAGATGGAAGGATTGTTTTAGTCAGGGAGGTCGAGGCTGCAGTGAGCCATGATTGTGCCATTGCACTTTAGTCTGGGCAACAGAGTGAGACCCTATTAAAAAAAAAAAAGAAAGGGGCCAGGGGCCGTGGCTCATGCCTGTAATCCCAGCACTTTGGGAGGCTGAGGCGGGTGGATCACGAGGTCAGGAGATCAAGACCATCGTGGCCAACACAGTGAAACTTCGTCTCTACTAAAAATACAAAAATTAGCTGGGTATGGTGGCGTATGCTTGTAATCTCAGCTATCTGAGAGACTGAGGCAGGAGAATCGCTTGAACAAGGGAGTCAGAGGTTGCTGTGAGCCGAGATTGCACCATTGCACTCCAGCCTGGCGACAGAGCTCTGTCTCAAGAAAAAAAAAAAAAAAAAAAGGGAAGAAAGAAAAAAGAAAAAGAGGCCGGGCGCGGTGGCTCAAGCCTGTAATCCCAGCACTTTGGGAGGCCGAGACGGGCGGATCACGAGGTCAGGAGATCGAGACCATCCTGGCTAACACGGTGAAACCCCGTCTCTACTAAAAATACAAAAAACTAGCCGGGCGAGGTGGCGGGCGCCTGTAGTCCCAGCTACTTGGGAGGCTGAGGCAGGAGAATGGCATGAACCTGGGAGGCGGAGCTTGCAGTGAGCTGAGATCCGGCCACTGCACTCCAGCCTGGGCGGCAGAGCAAGACTCCGTCTCAAAAAAAAAAAAAAAAAAAAAAGAAAAAAGAAAAAGAACCTTTTCCCATAAGAGATTTGAAATTTAAAAACATGAAAAAGATTCTGCACATCAAAGCATGATAGAAATAGAAGTAACCCAGTTCAACTCTCCTTCCAGACTATTAGGAGAGCAGAGGAGGAAACTGGTTTATTCAACGCATTTCACAAATATTGCTCCATGCACCAGGCACTGGGCTGGGCATTGATCTATAATGATAAGTAGGACCTGGTCTTTGCCCTCACAATGCTTGCAGGGTAATGAAATGGATTCTCCTTCTCTCTGTAATCAGTTCATTCTTTTTCTCAACCATTCAGTGTTACGTGGCTGCATGACCATACACTTCTGGACAGAGCCCAGTGGAAGACAAGGAAGACTCAAGGAATAGCCCTTGAGGTAATGGATGAGAAAGTGCTTTGTAAATTACAATGCTCTGACACAAGTCAAGTTCATTCATCCATTCCATAAACCCTTGCTGAGAGCCTGCTTTTGCCAGGCACAGGGCAAAGGGCTGGAAGACAGAAGTGCTGGGTGAATCCTGCAGGGGGAGATGGCTGAGGAAATCGACATGGGGCCCCCAGGTGATGAGTATGGTGGGAGGTACGGGGCTCCCTGCCTACTGACTCAGGAGATCGAACTGTTGTTCGGGCTCTATCACCCAGTAGCTGTGTGACTTTAGGCAATCTGCCTTGCCAGCTGTGCCTTGGTTTCCTTATTTGTAAAATGGTTGGAGAGTAGTACCTACCTCATTGAGTTGTCTGAAGCTCCCACATGCAAAATGCTTAGAGTGGTGCCTTGCATATAGGAAGTGCTCAATGCATGTTAACTGTCATGACTTTGAAAGCACTGGGGAGGCTTCGAGGAAAGGGAGGAGTGAGCTGAGCTGCTGCAGCTTGGGTTCATATGGTTGGCTATGGATGTAAGCTGCCTCGTTTTGGGGAACCGTACAGCTCCTATGCAAGATACATTCCAAAAAGCTGCTTGTCTTGAAACAGGTCGGCCGGACACCAAGCTTCTTTTTTTTTTTTTTTTTTTTTGAGACAGATTCCCACTCTGTCACCCAGGCTGGAGTGCAGTGGTGCCATCTGGGCTCACTGCAACCTCTGCCTTCCATGTTCAAGTGATTCTCTTGCCTCAGCCTCCGGAGTACCTGGAATTACAGGCATGTGCCACCATACCTGGCTAATTTTTTTGTATTTTTAGTAGAGACAAGGTTTCGCTATGTTGGCCAGGCTGGTCTCAAACTCCTGACCTCAGGTGATCCGCCCACCTTGGCCTCCCAAAGTGCTGGGATTACAGGCGTGAGCCACCGTGCCTGGCCTTCCCTTTGGCATTCTAATCTCTCCCATGGTTTCCCATCGCTTTCTGGATGAATCCAGACTCCTTGGTGCAGTGTGCGTCCCACGCTGCTCTGTGTCAGTTTCATCGGCCGCCACTGCCTCAGCGCCTGGGGCCTCATGCTCCAGCTCCATGGAGCTCCAAGCTGTCCAGAAGGTTCTACCGTCCTCAGTCCTGGGTTTCTGTACATTTGCTTCCCTGTCTGGGGACAGGGAGGGAACTACCTTCCATACCTTGGCTGATTTCTACTTTTCCTTTAAAATTTGGCAGATAGGTTGGCAGATAAGCTGGGCACCGTGGCATGTGCCAATAATCCCAGCACTTTGGGAGGCCGAGGTGGGAGGACTGCTTGAGCTCAGGAGTTTGAGACCAACTTGGGCGACACAGTGGAGACTCCATCTCTACAAAAAAATTTAAAAATTAGCTGGATGTGGTGGTGCATGCCTGTGGTCCCAGCTACTTGGGAGGCTGAGGTGGGAGGATCCCTTGAACCCAGCAGGTAGAGCCTGCGGTGAGCTATGATTGTGCCGTGGCATTCCAGCCTGGAAGACAGAGACCCTGTCTCAAAAAAAAAAAAAAAAAAAAACTGGCTACCATGTATTGGGCACTTAATCTGGCCTGGCCTGCTAGCTTATAGGCATGACTTGACTCGGGAGCCTGCCCCTTGGCAGCTGCCCCACCCAACCCCCAATACAAAAAAAAAAAAAAAAAAAAAAAGACAGATACTCTAAACTTCCAGGTAGCTCTTTTTGCATTAACCAAAATGTTCTGACTAGATCTCCAGCGAGGATCTTGGGGAAACAGACTATATTTGATTTTTTTTTCTTTTTAAGACTGGAATCTGGTAGGTAGAAATAACCTTTAAGTCAAGGATGATGTTGACTTCTTCTTTCCCTTGTTTTCAGAGACCACAACCTGCTTTCTTCTAGAGTAGTTTTTGGTTTTCCCTGCAGGGCTCAGGAGGGTGTGAGTGCTGGGAAGCGCCATCCATGAGATTACGAGGCCTGTTAATCTGAAGACAAAGGGAATGAAGACAAAAAAGTTTCTGGAAATGTGGGCAGAGACACCTGGGCCTTTACAGGGCACACTCCAGAGCTGTTTCCAGGCAGGGACCCCAGCAGAGAGAAGCCGGAGCTGGGACGCAGTCTTGCTTGCTCTTATCTTCCCTCCGCTGGGGGGTCGAGGGGAGATCGGGCCCCTCTGCTCTGCCCTCCTGATTTCCCGTCTAAGGGATTTAGGAGACTCTCGCCTTTTCCTAATCTCTCCCTTTGCAGAATTTCTGCGAAGTCACAATCCCATTTCCAGGCAAAGGTGCTTGGTCATAAAGATAATAAAGATATTCATTCATGATGGAGGGGAAGTACACAGTGGTTTCAGCCGCCTGTAGGGCTCCACTTACTCATGGTGTGTGACAGATGCTGAACCCTTCCCCAAATCTCATGGATGGGAAGGAAACCTGGCGCCACGGGGTGGTCGCGGGAAGCCGTGGCATGGCTTGGTGAACACAGGCTTGCCAGCCCGGGGGCGGATGCTGAGGTTGCCATTGTTGGTGGCTGCATCTGCAGCTAGATGGGTCAGGATGCCGGCCTCAGACCACAGCGTTGCTAAATGCCAAACCCAAGGTCTCCCTGTCTTTAACACTGCTGGGCATTCTACAGCACGAGGAGGCAGCTGGGGCTGTACTGCCCAGGGCCTGCCTTTGGCTGTGCGTCTTCTGTCTGTGAGCTAGCCTGCCACACCTGGGAATACACGGTGGGGAAATCAATCAGCTTCTCTCCCTTCTAGAGCTGCAGGTCTGGCATTGGTGTCTAGAGGCAAGGGGAGGAGGGAGGGAGGCCTCTTCCTTTCTGTCGCCCTTTCTCTTGGCCAATTTGGAGGAGATGGTGGGGGAACTGTCTCTCATCTGACCTCCTGGAAGCCCTGCCTGCTGCTCCAGTGTGGCTCTCCCAGGGCTGAGGCCTGGAACCTAGGGCTGGGCTACCTGGAGTGCTCAGCTCTGCCACACGCCAGCCCTCCTGGGCTGCAGCCCTGGCTTTTTTCTTACCCACTGGGATGGCCCGTGAGAACTAACCTTGCAGCCTGCAGGACTGTGGCCCAGATGACCTTTCCGGAGCAGGGAAAGGGTGCACAGGTCTCAGACCAGGTTGACCCTGAGCCCTCTCTTTCCTGCTTCCGATAGGGGCAGGCCAAGGGAGGCAGGGACAATGGCATTCCTGTTTGCAGGCCTTTGTTCCCGCCAGGAGGGGCCCCGGAGCTAATAAAAAGGTTTGTGGCTCCGATGTCTAAGAGGCAGTGGAGGAGTTCTTTCAAGCCTGACATTCCAAGCCCAGCCGGCCTCTGGCATTTCCCAGAAAAACTTCGAGGAGGGGAGGGGAAAGAAAACACTTGAGGGGCCCACCCACCTACCCACCGGCCGCCTTCTCGGATTCCTCGTTCCCTCTGGGGATTGGGCTGGGCCTGAGTGCCAGGACCCCTGCCCTGGGGGCCCATTCCTCCACCCACAGAGGGGCCCTGGGGAGTGTTGAGAGGGTGAAAGTGGGGAAGGGGGGTGACGATCTAGGAGGCTGCAGAGAGGATGAAATGTCGGGGGCGCAGTGAGAAGGGGAGGAAAGTTTCTTCCCACTTTGTCAAAGAGGAATCCACATCTGCTACAAGTTTGGAGTTGGAGGGTGGGGAGTGAGGAGTTAGCTCCTAGCCAATATCTCCTCTGACCCCAAACCGACAAATGCTGCTCTGTCCGAGGCTGGGGTGGGAAGAGTTTCTATTTGCCCTGAAGCAGCTGCGGGAACAGACATCAGGGCAGCAGGGCAGTTCTGGGAAGTGAAGCTGTGGTGAACCATCTGGGCGGCAATGCAGAGGAGGCAGTGCCCAGGAGGGGGAGAGCTCGGGCGGGGTGAGGAGGCCAGGCTGTCTCTGGGAGACGTGCCTCTTGGGATGTCCTGGGCCCGGGCGCCCTTGGAGCGGCAGGAGCTGGTGGAGGTGCAGGTGAGTGCAGCTGTCCAGCTCGCCCTGCAATACTCCGGTTGGGCTGGCTGCTGGAGCCAGGTGGGCACAGTCGGGTGCCCTGACTCTCATGGGGCTCTGGGGCAGGTGTTCCTCACGACCATGGTGTGCCTGCAGCCTCTGGTCAACCTCCTGCATCCCGGACGCAGGCTTCTTCTGAGCCCCTCACCCTCTGGGAAGTCCCTGCCTCCTCTGCAGTGTGAAGCACACCTGGTGTGCACTTTGCCATGTACTGATTCTTGGGCAAGTTCAAATAGAAAATGATAGGCCGGGCCCAGTGGCTCACGCCTATAATCCCAGCACTTTGGGAGGCCAAGGCTAGTGGATCCCCTGAGGTCAGGAATTCAAGACCAGCCTGGCCAACATGGTGAAACCCTGTCTCTACTAAAAATACAAAAATAGCTGGGCACAGTGGCACATGCCTGTAATCCTAGCCCCTCAGGAGGCTGAGGTGGGAGAATCACTTAAAACTGGGAGGTGGAACGCCGGGCGCGGTGGCTCACGCCTGTAATCCCCGCACTTTGGGAGGCCGAGACGGGCGGATCACGAGGTCAGGAGATCGAGATCATCCTGGCTGACACGGTGAAACCCCGTCTCTACTAAAAATACAAAAAATGAGCCGGGCGTGGTGGCGGCGCCTGTAGTCCCAGCTACTGGGGAGGCTGAGGCAGGAGAATGGCGTGAACCCGGGAGGCGGAGCTTGCAGTGAGCCGAGATCCGGCCACTGCACTCCAGCCTGGGCGACAGAGCGAGACTCCTGGGAGGTGGAGATTTACAGTGAGCTGAGATTGTGCCATTGCACTCCAGCCTGGGCGACAAGAGCGAAACTCCGTCTCAAAAAAAAGAAAAAAGTAAAAGAAAAAGAAAAAAGAAAATAATACTCTCTCTTTGGCTCCCAAGATCCTGAACCAGCTTCGAAGGCAGAGAAGTGGGCTAGGAGTGGGGCTGGAGCCTCCACCAAGCACAAGGAGGTGAGACTTTAAGGCGTCTAAGGTGAAAATGGGGCAGCCATCCCCACGTGTTCCTTCCTCCCTCCCCCTTGCTCGCACTGTACTCACTGGGCCTTAGGTTGGTGCTGTTCAGAGTTTCTTAACCTGGAGTACATGAACTGCTCCTTCCCAGGTTTCATACTCCCCCAACAGCCACTCCCCCGATAATTGCAAACAAAATGCTGGCAGAGGGTCAGGCCCCTGGGGGCCACAGGACCTGCCTGGAGTCACTTCTTGTCCCTGCAACACTTGTTTTTTGTTTGAGACAGTCTCGTGCTGTCTCCCAGGCTGGAGTGCAGGGGGGCAATCTTGGCTCACTGCAACCTCCGCCTCCTAGGTTCAAGCGATTCTCCTACCTCAGCCTCCCGAGTAGCTGGGACTACAGGTGCCCGCCACCACGCCAGGCTAATTTTTGTATTTTTTAGTAGAGACGGGGTTTCACCATATTGGCCAGGCTGGTCTCGAACTCCTGACCTTGTGATCCGCCAGCCTCAGCCTCCCAAAGTGCTGGGATTACAGGCATGAGCCACCACCCCTGGCCTCAAGTAGATATTTACTGAGCACCTACTGTGTGTCAGGGATTGAGTTAGGTGCCAGAAATTTATCAGTCTGGGATCTCATGGAGCTTAGATGTTTTTCCAGAAGGACAAGATTCTTCCAGAATTATATCGGGATTGATTAATTTTGACTGTGCCGCATACTATGAAGAAGTCCCAGGAGCTATGTGAGCCTATTACGAGGAGACCTAATCTATTGGGGGGACAACCAAGGGGGATTCTCTGTAGGCTGATGGGAAGCTGAGGTCTAGCAAGGTCCCTGTCTGGTGCGAGGTCTCCCAGCCAGATGATGGCAGAGCTCAGGCTGGTGCCAGGCTTTCCCCACACACAGGCTCCTCTGGCCTCCCTCCAGGCCACTCGGTGTCATACACAGGGGAGGGGAGGATGGAGAGCTGGCAGAGACAGGGAGGGCCTGCTGGGGGGACAGGCATGCCCCTGGTGCCAAGTGCCCGGGCCTCTGCTGCCCACTGTCTTTTCCCATTCACTTCTACTTCACTCTCCCTCTCACCTCCCAAAGGCCTTAGCTCCCTGCTTCCAGCTCAAGCTGAAATGTCTGTGAGCTGAACTAGTAAGACCCCACTTTGCCAGGAGGAGTGCCTCACGCCTGTAATCTCAGCACTTTGAAAGGCCGAGGCAGGTGGGTCACCCGAGGTTAGGAGTTTAAGACCAGCCTGGCCAACATGGCGAGGCCTACTAAAAATACAAAAATTAGCCGGGAGTGGTGGTGCGCACCTGTAGTCCCAGCTACTCAGGAGGCTGAGGTAGGAGAATCTCTTGAATCGGGGAGGCAGAAGCTGCAGTGAGCCGAGATTGCCCCACTGCATTCCAGCCTGGGGGACAGAGTGAGACTCCATCTCAAAAAAAAAAAAGAGAGAGAGAAAAGAACCCATTTCATTCTACCTGTGGGAGGTGGTTCAGGTATTTGTGAAACTTTGCAAATGGAAAACATAGCTCGTGAATACGTAAGACAGCCCCACAGGTCAGCATTCAAAAGGTGCAATCAGGCGAGCCAGAGTCTTCCCCTCCTATTCCCTGGCTTCCTGTGCCACCTGGGGTATTTTCTTCTTCTTCTCTCTCTCTTTTTTTTTTTCTACCGACCAGAAGATGCAGGCTACTCTGGGCACAATGCCTGCGAATTAGCCCTGCTCCACAAGAAGCAGCCAAAAAAAAAAAAAAAAAAGATGCAGAGTGGTGGCATGTGCACGGCTGAGTGCAGTCTGTAGACTCTGTAGACGCAGTGGCTGTGTGGCCCACACAGAATTAAAACAATTTTTGAGACAACATGAAAAAAATCTGGAAAGTTCACATCTACATTTGAATCTGGAGATTCCTTGGAAAAACAGGACACTCTGGTAGCAGTGGACCACGTTCTAGCACATTCCCATTGGCCCTTCAGGCGGGGCATGGACTCCCCAGGTCAGCACAAGCCCACCCTCCAGGGTGAGCGCCATCCCCTCCCTCCCTTCCCTGCCAGGGTCTGCAGGCGTTGAGACAGCAACTCAGCCTGACCTCTGCCTCTCCCAAGCTAAAGGGCAAGGAAGGTTATGGACTTTGGGGGATTTATTTTGAGTCTCTTTCCTAAATTCCAGGATACTGGAAATAAATCAAGCCTGGCCAGGAGGAGGAGTCCAGATCTTCCTGTCCCACTGGCCCTTCCCCCTTGGACCTCATCTTCAGTAGGCATGCTTGGCCTCTTCCTCTACTTCCCTGTGGGGGCTGGGCAGGGAGAAGCTGCGGGATGGGGGACCCTGGGATTCCCTGGGATATCACTGGATTCCTCATGCTGTGGGCTGCTGGATCTCGAGGCCTGCAGCTCCTCGCTCAGGTGGCGCTGGCGACCCGCCATGCCACAAAAGACTGAGATTCCCCTGAAACCGAGAGCTGCTTTTATCTCTCACCGGTGACAGAGAAACAAACCAGGATGCTCTGCCCAAAAGGCATTTCCAGAAATCTGGGCTCTGGCTTCTTGTTGATCAAATGCCAGAACGTCCTGGGCTTCTTTGTGGCAAGGGAGCCATTGAGCAATGGGTGTTTTGTTTTGCAGATGACAAGATTTTCGACACTGAAAAGTTTAAATGATGAATGGAAGAGCTTTGACCGGCTCCCACCCCTGCACAGGGAGGTTGCTGATTCGAGCTTCTGTGTTTGTCAAATTTGTTCCTTACAACTTTCGGCTGTTTTGCACTTTCCCTCAGCTCCAACAGGCTCAGGCCCCCAGTCCCAGAAATCCTCATCTCTTCCAGTTTTAGGGCCATACAGGTCTAGCAGGGCCCATGCCGGGTACATGGCTACAGCTGTGGGGAAAGCTGTTTGTTGTTGTTGTTTCTTTTTTTAAGTACAGGATCTCAGGCTGGGTGCGGTGGCTCATGCCTGTAATCCCAGCACTTTGGGAGGCCAAGATGGGTGGATTGCTTGAGCTCAGGAGTTCAAGACCAGCCTGGGCAACATGGCAAAACTCTGTCTCTAGAAAAAACACAAAAATTAGCCTGGCATGGTGATGCACACCTGT